AAGTTTGCAAATAAGTAATACACAATAAAATAATGCTGCATTTTTGGCCGTTTGGTGTGCAAAATATCAGTGTGATCGGATGAATTTACTGAATGAGTTCTGTGTGTAACAGCCTTGGGGTTTCACACGTCCGAGAACAGAGATCGAGTGGCTGCCGCTCTGTGCTGTTTGGCCCAAAGTCTTCTCTTCAAATAAAGCTTTAAAGCCAAACAAATTATGGCGTCAGATTGAGGCCAAACGAATACACATCTAATCCTCTCGAACTGACACACCTTTCATTTCGTCAGCAGGTCATCCAGCACTCGGTTGCTGCCAAACAACATCGTTAGGTGAGCTGGAAAATGTTCGGTTATTTATTAGTGTTTCTTTTGTGTTGTAACTTAAAATCAAGCAAAACTGACAGGTTACACTGATTATTGTGTTTTATTTGTCTGTACTTTAAACGATCTGGTCAGTAAAATTTTGGGCTGTGGAGGCTTCTGTGGTCAGTCGTGTGGGCCACTAGTTAGAAAAGTTTGGGAAGCTCTGGACTGCACGGTTCCACACTCAACAAAGCTGAATCACCACCTTTAGATCGAAGCATCACAGCGAATCAACGCATTTTTAAACTCCTAGTATTTATTCAGTTATTTTTAAAAATACACAGAATATATAAATGGAACTTTTTCAACTGCAGTGAAAAATATTCAAAACAGTGCATCAAATTTTTATTATTTTCTATGTTTACATTTCAACACTCCTGATTTTTTTTATAAAATGAGAAAATGAGTGCATATTTAACTAAATCTTCTTATAATCATTTAGAAATAATTCTGATTATTGTGTTTTATTTGTCCACACTTTAAACAGATCTGGTCAGGGAAATCTTGTGGGGCAGAGAGTTCAGTCCTAGATTTTTGCCAAAGTTCAGTTCACACCTTCGTTTTTGTTTTTTTGAGTGGGGTGTTGGGGGTGAATAAGAAAAAACTAAAAAAATGTCTGTTTTTTAAATCACCAACAATTTAGATCACTAAAGAACACGGTGTACAGCTCCCCCTATCTTTAAATACAATAATAACCGTAACACGAGAACGTGAAGGTCTGTATCACAGTTTTGGTCTCACTGTCAGAATCGGCACAGCCCCACTCATTTGATATCTCATGAAAATGGCCAATAAATGTGTTTGTTAAATATATTTTTTAAATGCATTTATTCATATCTGTTATTATCCATGTACATCTGCGGTAAGACTGTCACACACAGTGTATTTCAAATAAACACAATATCAAATCATAACTGCATTTTTGAGTATCAATACATACAACACTCGCTTTTGTCATGTTAAAGGTTGATTTGATCACATTTAAAATTATACTGGAATACAAATTCATTTCAAAAGGTATCAGACAGTAAACTGCATTAGATAGCATTTTGGCTGTTTTCATACATTTTCAAATGTGTTTGATAGACAAAAATAAATGTATGTAAATGTGTTTATGTGAAATATTTACTAATACATTTTAAAATAAATGCATTTTAAAATATATTTGGTTAATATGGCAATATGTTCTGACTTACATTTTAGTGTTCAGAATGTATTTCAGCATCGACTGCAGTGTGTTTGAAATTTAAATATATAAAAATACATGTACATATATATTTTTCCATAAAGGATCTGCATTAAAACTGAGCTAAATAAGGAGTGGACTGATGAACATCTGCCTGTCACGCTGTAATGAAACACACCAATCACACACGGCCTGAACTCAAGGACCGATCGATCAGGAAAGCAGGAAAAACTTTCCCACAAAGCAAGTTTAATTTGTTTGTGGAGTGTGTGTGTGTGTGTGTGTGTGTGTGTGTGTGTGTGTGTGTGTGTGTGTGTGTGTTATCTCTGCATTTTTGTCCTGTGAAGTAAAGGTGGAATTCTTGCTGGCTCCATTTCAGTTCACTGAAGCAAAGAGGCTGAAAAAGAAACTCCACCTGGTCTGTCCTGACAGTGAGACCTTTCACACACATACACAATAGCTGTGTCCCAATTCAGGAGCTGCGTCCTTCAGAGGCTGCATCTGAAGGCCGACTGCGTCACAGCAGCGCGACTAGGCTGTCCCATTTCGAAGGCTCCTTCATTTGCGGTCGAGAAACGTATTATTTTATTTACTGTTGCCAATAAATTTATTTATTTATTTCTTTTTGATTCTTGAATACACAACAGTATGATTGTGATCACAGCGAGGGTCCCCAGTATGTAGGAGTATGTAGGAGCGGCGAGGGTGTGTTGTGTTCGTACCCTGAGTGGGTTTTCGTTGAGATACGGCGGCTCCCCCTCCACCATCTCGATGGCCATGATGCCCAGAGACCAGATGTCCACTTTAGGGCCGTACGCCTTCCGAGTTACGACCTCCGGAGCCATCCAGTACGGAGTGCCCACCATAGTGCTGCGCTTATTCTGCTCCGGAGTGATCTGAGCACAGAACCCGAAATCCGCTATAGAGGGAGAGAGACAGAGACAGAGAGAGAGCGAGAGAGAGAGAGAATAAAAAGAGAAAAAGAGAAAAAGGAAGAGAGAGAAAAAGGGAGTAATGGGAGCAAGAGGATAAAATAAAAGAGTAAAAAAGAAAATGAGAGAGAAACACAGAAAGAGGGGGAGTAAAAAGAAAGAGAAGAAAAGGAAGGGGGAGAGAGAGTAAAGAAAGAGAGAGAGAGATTAAAGAAAGAGAAAGAGAGAAAGGGTTAGAGAGAACAGAGAAAGAGAGAGTAAAGAAAGAGAATAAAGAGTTAATCAGACCAATGAAAGTCATTATAAAGACATATGAATCAGACTGAGTGTGTTCATGATTCAGTTCCGTGTGTGTGTGCATGAGAGAGAGAATGTGTGTGTGTGAGAGAGAAACATTGTGTGTGTGTGTGTGTGTGTGTGTGTGTGTGTGTTTGTGTTTGTGTGTGAGAGAGAGAGACTGTGTGTGTGTGTGTGAGAGAAACATTGTGTGTGTGTGTGAGGGAGCAACGTGTGTGTGTGTGTGTGTGTGTGTGTGTGTGTGAGACAGTGTGTGTGTGTGTGTGTGTTTGTGTGTGAGAGAGAGACAGAGTGTGTGTGTGTGTGTGTGAGGGAGCAACGTGTGTATGTGTGTGTGTGTGTGAGAGTGTGTGTGTGTGTGAGACAGTGTGTGTGTGTGTGTGTGTTTGTGTGTGAGAGAAACATTGTGTGTGTGTGTGAGGGAGCAACGTGTGTGTGTGTGTGTGTGTGTGTGTGTGTGTGTGTGAGACAGTGTGTGTGTGTGTGTGTGTTTGTGTGTGAGAGAGAGACAGAGTGTGTGTGTGTGTGTGTGAGGGAGCAACGTGTGTATGTGTGTGTGTGTGTGAGAGTGTGTGTGTGTGTGTGAGACTGTGTGTGTGTGTTGATGTGAGAGAGAGACAGTGTGTGTGTGTGAGAGAGAGAAACGTGTGTGTGTGTGTGTGTGAGACAGTGTGTGTGTGTGTGAGAGAGAGAAACATGTGTGTGTGTGTGTCTGTGTGTGTGAGAGTGTGTGTGTGTCTGTGTGTGTATGTGTGAGAGAGAGAGAGTGTGTGTGCGTGTGTGTGTGTTTAAGAGTGTGTGTGTGTGTGTGTGAGAGAGAGTGTGTGTGTGTGTGTGTGTGTGTGTGTGTGTGAGAGAGAGTGTGTGTGTGTGTGTGTGTCTCACTCAGTTTGACAGAGCCGTCCATCCCCAGCAGGATGTTGTCACTCTTGATGTCTCTGTGAATCACCTGATTGGAGTGAAGGAAGTCCAGAGCCTGCAAACACTGACAGCACACACACACTTCACTCAGCCTGGGGTTATCAGACCTGGAGACCATCAGGGTCTCAATGTGGACCCTCACTTTAAACACTCTACCAAGCCCCGCCCACTAATGTGTTCTTTATATACAGAACGCTGGTAAAAATCTCATACAGCCTAATGAGAAACTGTAGAGCACGACACACTGTAGCGCACAATTCATAACTCTAAATATAGGTATTGTGATATAAACTGAGTCTGTTCTACAGTTTCTCATTAGGCTGAATGAATAACTGACTCTAAATGTAGGTATTGTGATATAAACTGAGTCTGTTCTACAGTTTCTCATTAGGCTGAATGAATAACTGACTCTAAATGTAGGTATTGTGATATAAACTGAGTCTGTTCTACAGTTTCTCATTAGGCTGAATGAATAACTGACTCTAAATGTAGGTATTGTGATATAAACTGAGTCTGTTCTACAGTTTCTCATTATTCTCTGATGCTTGTCAAACCTCACAAAAGTAGCTATGAGAGAACACATTTGTGGGTGGAGCTTAACAGTTCATTAATGATTCATAGTAATTATACGTGTTTGTGTGTTACCTCTCTGCACACTGCAGCGATCTGTCCCTCGTCCATACAAGTTTCTGTTACAACATCAGTGAGAGAACCACCAGCTAAATACTCCATCACCACCCACAGCTCATCACCTACCAGATAACTGAGAGAGAGAGAGAGAGAGCGAGAGAGAGAGAGAGAGAGAGAGAGAGAGGGAGGGAGAGAGAGAGAGAGAGAGCGAGAGAGAGAGAGAGAGAGAGAGAGAGAGAGAGAGAGGGAGGGAGGGAGAGAGAGAGAGAGAGAGAGAGAGAGAGAGAGGGAGGGAGAGAGAGAGAGCGAGAGAGATTCTCATTTGTATTATTATTAATTAGAGTAACATGTATACATTTACTGCTTTGACACATTTTGTGTAACATGTATACACACATATATGAATGTTATGTTGTCGTTATTATTTATTAGCACCTGTCCGGGTACTTAACGATCCTGTGGTTTGTGTTAGCATTAAACGTGTTTACCTGTCCAGGTCGTTAACAATGTCAGAGTTTGTGTTGCAGCCAAAGGTGTTTACCTGTCCAGGTACTTAACGATGATGAGGTTTGCATTATTGTTAAAGGTGTTTACCTGTCCAGGTAGTTAACAATGTCGGGGTTTGTGTTAGTGTTAAAGGTGTTTACCTGTCCAGGTAGTTAACAATGTTGGGGGTTGTGTTAGTGTTAAAGGTGTTTACCTGTCCAGGTAGTTAACAATGTCAGGGTTTGTGTTAGCGTTAAAGGTGTTTACCTGTCCAGGTCGTTAACAATACTGTGGTTTGTGTTAGTGTTAAAGGTGTTTACCTGTCCAGGTAGTTAACAATGTCGGGGTTTGTGTTAGCGTTGAAGGTGTTTACCTGTCCAGGTCGTTAACAATACTGTGGTTTGTGTTAGTGTTAAAGGTGTTTACCTGTCCAGGTCGTTAACAATGACGGGGTTTGTGTTAGTGTTAAAGGTGTTTACCTGTCCAGGTAGTTAACAATGTCGGGGTTTGTGTTAGTGTTAAAGGTGTTTACCTGTCCAGGTAGTTAACAATGTCGGGGTTTGTGTTAGTGTTAAAGGTGTTTACCTGTCCAGGTAGTTAACAATGTTGGGGGTCGTGTTAGTGTTAAAGGTGTTTACCTGTCCAGGTAGTTAACAATGTCAGGGTTTGTGTTAGTGTTAAAAGGTGTTTACCTGTCCAGGTCGTTAACAATACTGTGGTTTGTGTTAGTGTTAAAGATGTTTACCTGTCCAGGTCGTTAACAATACTGTGGTTTGCGTTAGTGTTAAAGGTGTTTACCTGTCCAGGTCGTTAACAATGACAGGGTTTGTGTTAGTGTTAAAGATGTTTACCTGTCCAGGTCGTTAACAATACTGTGGTTTGTGTTAGTGTTAAAAGGTGTTTACCTGTCCAGGTCGTTAACAATACTGTGGTTTGTGTTAGTGTTAAAGGTGTTTACCTGTCCAGGTCGTTAACAATACTGTGGTTTGTGTTAGTGTTAAAAGGTGTTTACCTGTCCAGGTCGTTAACAATACTGTGGTTTGTGTTAGTGTTAAAGATGTTTACCTGTCCAGGTCGTTAACAATACTGTGGTTTGTGTTAGTGTTAAAAGGTGTTTACCTGTCCAGGTCGTTAACAATACTGTGGTTTGTGTTAGTGTTAAAGATGTTTACCTGTCCAGGTAATTTACGATGTTGGGGTTTTTGTTTTCCCTCATCACCAAAATCTCGTTAATGATCAGCTCTTTCTTCGGCTGCTGCTGCAGATTCATCTGCTTTATAGCCACCTGAGAAAGAGAGAAAAGGTATTATACATTTATCAGTATTAATTAATTTAATATAACATGATATGATATTTTTCTTTAAGGGGGTTTACCTCCTGTCCGGTGGCGATGTCGATGGCTGTGTAAACTGTCCCAGACGCCCTGAATAAAAAAGAAAAAAAAAAGGGTAAAAAAAGGGGTAAAAGGGTAAAAGGGTCACGTTCCAGCTTACAAGGCAGCTTATAATGACTGAGAGCAAAGATTTAATTATCCTTTTAATTTTAATTGTCTTTTAATGTCACTCCAAAGCGTTTATTTAGCTACTTTGCTTGACAGCTTAACTTACTGGCCAATACGAAGTGATACACTGCACTGTTCTGCATCTATACACACACAAATGTCTACATTCACACAGAATCATCTACAGAATCAAACAAAGCTTCAGTGTTTCTCTAACAGCATCAGCATGTTAGCTTCTTAACCAGCTCCACCTTAGTGAACACTTTAAAAATATCAATAAACACATCAACTTACTGTCCTAGTTTACATTCTGGAGCTCTTACTGCTGATGTAGGAGACTTTATCGTCACCTGGAAGAGTAAAGAATTTGCTAATTCATCCTGCGAATGTTAAGTACGGCAGGACGATTAATCGATTTTGGCTTCCAATGATTATGAAAACAAGATAACTGAGATAAAACGATTATTCCGTTTTGCAACAATGTTCTCGTTTCGTCTTGTGTTATAAACCCAGCGCACCCCTTTCCTTCACTTTTTTTTTTGTTTTTCAGTTGAATTATATTTAAAAGTTAAAGGAAATCCACTGTTAAAAAGACTAATTTTTGAAGTTTAATAAAGGCACGACGTTTCCAAAGTCAACGAGTAGTCGTGTTAAATATTTGCAATATCAATATTGACCAAAATAATCGTGATTATGATTTTTTGTCATAATTGAGCAGCCCTAGCGTCGAGTGAAAACAACCTCCAGTACCATTATTATTTGGTACCACTCTCAAACGGGGACCAAAAACTCAAATAAACGTTATTAAACTAAACCAAATGAAGGTTCCGGTTCTCAACACAGCGGAAAAACAACCCAACACTCTTCTGGGAAACTCTGATTTCTGCCGTTTATTCAGCAACAACGTCTATCGTCATTACATCAGAGCTCACTTTAAAACAGACTGGACACAGACTGACTCTGTAACTGTAGCTTCGTTTCTCCAGATTCCATCACTGATTAGAAGCTCATGGCAGAGAGCGTTTCTGTGTTACTCCACCCATGTCCACTAGGGGGCAGCACACAACTATAAATCCAGCCCTACGGCTCCATCAGTGATAAATAATGCAGTAGGAGCATCACTGAGCGTCAGAGTCTACAGAGAATTCTCCCAGTCTGCCTGCAGGGGGCGCTCTGCTTTACACGGTTACACAGCAGCATTTAAAACTCTTTCGTGTTTTTACTACCAAACCTGTATTTACATTTACGTCCTGTATATATGCACTGTGTACTGTACTGTACTCATCAGTATTACGATCAGGGTTCGAGGGAAAATGAGGATTTGTTGGCAGAACTTTTTCTGCTTATTAGTAAATAAACAAATATTGATTGATAAGCCCATTTAAAGACTGTATTCATTCCCCCATGACTATCATTATACATCCCATTATTATTATTATTATTATTATTACTGCAATAATGTATGAATGCAAACAAATGTCTTTACTGCATTAATGCTGTGCTTTAGATCCCAAAAACACAGCTAAACTCAAACCAGACTTGCTGTTTTATTCTCTATCCCTTCTCTCTGCCTTCCTCTCTCTCTCCCTCTCTCTCTCTCTCTCTCTCCCTTCTGTCTCTCTCGCTTCCTCTCTCTCTCTCTCTCTCTCTCTGCCTCTGGCTGTGTCTGGATCATGTTTTCATTTCCTCATTTCTCCCTCTTTTCACCTCTCACCTCCTCCTTTCCTCCTTCTCTTCCTGCACTACCGTTCAAATCTCTCTCTCTCTCTCTCTCTCTCTCTCCCTCTCTATTTTTATCCTCCCTTCAGTGGAAGGTAGAGAGAAGACAGAGAGGAAAATGACTCCGGACAGATGGAGCAGCTCTCCGCAGTCTATATGTTCTATTTCATATATACACACTTAAAAAAGATGGTTCTTCAAGGGTTCTTTAATAAAGAAAATGGTTCTATATAGAACCGTGAACGCTCAAAGAACGCTTTGCATGATTTAAGGGTTCACTGCATAGTGAAGCAGTTCTTCAGATTAATGGAGAACGTGTTGTATATGGTTCTATATAGCACCAAAAAGAGTTCTGCTACTGTTGCAAGGTTGCTACATAGAACCATTTTCACATTCTCACATTCATCAATCTGAAAATCTCAAGTAAAGAGAGTTGAAGTCAAGTGAATTAACTTCAACTGTCCTGAATTTAAGTGATCTAAACTTAATTGAACTGAATTTAAGATAAGTAAACTGAATTAAACTGAACTGAACTGAATTTAACTGAATTAAACTGAACTGAACTGAATTAAACTGACCTGGATTGCACTGAACCGACCTGAATTAAGCTCAGTTTAACTGAATTAAACTGAACTAAACTGAACCAAATGGAACAAAATTTAAATGAACTGAACTGGACTGAACTGCATTGAACTGAATTAAACTGAACTGAATGGAATTTAATTAAACCGAACAACTGAATTGAACGGAACTGAATTAAAATGAACTGAATTTAACTAAATAAAAAACTGAATTGATTAGAACTAAATTAAACTGATTTAAACTGGACTGAACTGCATTGAACTTAACTGAATTAAAATGAATTGAAACAAAACTAAACTGAACTGAATTAAACTGAATTGAACTGAACTGAATTAAACTGAATTGAACTGAACTGAATTAAACTGAACTGAACTGGCAGTGTGTGACTCACCCTTGTCCTATTTTCTCGAAGCGTGTGTATTTCTTCTTTGGATCGCCAACACTGACGATGCTCCCTGAAAAAAAAAGGAAAAAGTGTCACACACACACACACACACACACACACACACACACACACACACACACACACTCACACACACACACTGTTTTAAGCAGGTGTCCATTCACCCTGACAGTGGGCACCCTGCTGAGAGTTTTTACCCACAGTGCAAAGCGGCACTGATGTTTTTGGATAGCTCATGCAGAGAAGTGTGTGTGTGTGTGTGTATGTGTGTGTGTGTGTGTGTGTGTGTGTGTGTGTTTCCCTGGCAGAAGTAGGACAGTAATCCCAGTCTCAGTGAACTCCACACACAGCTATGTGTAAGTGTGTGTTCTCATGAGGGGAGAGTGAGGAACTCCAAACACTCCACTCACTGGCCACTTTATTAGAAACACCTTCCTTGTATTTGAACCTAATGAGGAACTGTAGAACACGACTGAGTTAATAAGTCATTAGGCTGAATGAATAACCGACTCTAAATGTAGGTATTGTGATATAAACTGAGGCTGTTCTACAGTTTCTCATTAGGCTGAATGAATAACTGACTCTAAATGTAGGTATTGTGATATAAACTGAGTCTGTTCTACAGTTTCTCATTAGGCTGAATGAATAACTGACTCTAAATGTAGGTATTGTGATATAAACTGAGTCTGTTCTACAGTTTCTCATTAGGCTGAATGAATAACTGACTCTAAATGTAGGTATTGTGATATAAACTGAGTCTGTTCTACAGTTTCTCATTAGGCTGAATGAATAACTGACTCTAAATGTAGGTATTGTGATATAAACTGAGTCTGTTCTACAGTTTCTCATTAGGCTGAATGAATAACTGACTCTAAATGTAGGTATTGTGGTATAAACTAACACACACACACACACACACACGTACTGAGTCGTTCGAGTATCTCCTCGTCGGTCATCTTAGATTTCTTCCTCTGCCGGTCAGTGTGCCGGTACAGTGTGCTGGACGTCGTGTCCTCCGGCTGCACCTGGGACTCCGGCGGGGTCGTGACCTCTTTAACTGGGGCAGGCGGAGCTGCCGGCTCGATTACAGAGCGAGTGTAGATCTGAGGATGAGAGGGGAAGGAGAGAGTAAAGAACAGGTGTACAGCTGGGACGAGTACGATGACTTACAGAATACTATATAAACAGGTTGTTCCGGCGCTACAATCTGATTGGCTGAGCCGCTGTAATGTACTCAATGTACACACGGAGATGACCACCTCAAAATAACTTAAACCTGCTAATGTGATGTTATGTATCTCCATGCAGGCCCATGACCATATACAGCCCAGAAACACATTTTCTGAGCCGCTTATCCTTCTGGGTCGCTGCCCAATATATCGTCCATTCTACTGAATTAGTTCAAACTGTGATCCTACAGTAAAACAATTTTAATCAAAAATCAAGTATTCAGATCTTAGATATTTACACTGATTATGTTATGATATATTTGAACTCAAGGCATTAATTGACTGTCTGTCCTAAATTCTAACCCCTAAATTTACACTTGAGAAAATACTATTTTTTATTTTTTAGATATCTTTTTGTTTGTTTAGATTTATCATGAGTTTAATTTTTAAAAAAATGCTGTCCCATGTTTTCATGTGACTATCAAAACACAGAGTTTCAGTCTGTAGGCGGAGTCTTCGTTTAGCCACGCCCCTGTCTTTTAGGGTAGGCAGTGAGGTTGCATCCCTGTCCCTCATGGCCACATGGTGTTTTGAAGTAAATGTGTCCCAAAGTCTGAAAATCAGTGTGGAACATTAAGAATCGTCACTACTGAAACACAGATTTACAGCTTTTTAGTGTTTTAATAAAAAAATATGAAGATTTTATGTGTCCAGCTGTTCAAAGCTGTGTTTGCTGGTCATGTACTGACTAATCCCTGCTGATAAAGGACCATTTGAAACCATTAGGATTAAAACACCTAATGGTTTTGCTTTCTAATAAGAATTGGTTTCATGGTTTCCAACAGTGACCACTACTTTCCTGTAGGATTCCTTTAGATCCCATTAGGAAACCATCAAATGCATTTAGAATCAGCCACTGATCACCTGGTAAACCATTAGGATCCTTTACAGTGTGATATCAGTCCATTAAAAAAGCCAAAACACATGACAAAACCATCAGGAACCAACACTTAATGGTTTCTATGGGTTGTTTCAGCAGGGAGTGTTTTTGAGCTCAAAATGAGCTAAAATTGTCATTACCGAAATAGTCACTGCTGAAACATTCGGTTTGGGTTAGGGTTATGATTGTTTTGGTAGTGATAAAATGGAACGTTCAGTCATTTGTTTTGTCTTTTTCTTTAAGATTTGCATCGGAATCACAGTATTTTTTGTTTTCTGCAGAGCTCAGTATCTGATTTTTCATAAATAATGCCTTTTTCTTCTGGAAAGCCTTTGTTTTATTCAATTTCTATCATTAAAATAATGCAAATTTTTTCTCCACACCGGATTTAGTCCTGCTCACAGCAGCTCAACATAAACAAGGACGTCAGAACCAGTAAGACAAACATGTAACAGATACTTTACCTTATTTGGGGTTTTTAAGGGAATTTTTCAGAAAATATTTCAACGTAAAGTTTTACTCTCGATGTTCCTGACGAAGCCACTTAGCCTGTTAGCTATTGCAGAGCGGGTTAGTAAACTAGTTAAACTAAAAGACGTTCTGACTATCACTTTAACCCTCAGTGGTCTGAGGTCATTCTGTCTTGATGTGTTCATCTCTTCTTAAACCCTCCTTTAAAGGCTCTTCATATATCATGATCCTCATATGTTTCATATCTAAATGCTCCGTTATCTTCATCACTACATTCCAAACCCGCTGCAGCAGCTTCAGCAGCTGTAAACTCTCTGCACGCCGTTTCACATGAGTCTCCGATGTGGACTGAATGAAGAATGAAGGGTTTCCGGCGTGATGGTCAGTCCTTAGTGATTTCCTGAGTGTCCATTGGTCAGTTTCACACAGAATGTAGACGGACACACCAATCCACCAGTTCCACACGGTGAGAGGCAGATGACGTGTATCTCAGCCCCTCTTCATAGGCTCATAACTCCGGATGTGAGTCTCGTATGATCTCGTGATAAGATGGAATGGAAAGGGCGACTCTACAGATTCAGGAAGTGTTTGAACTGGATTTCTGAGCTGGATCATCACAAAGATACAGACACAGATACAGACACATTGGACTGGACGTGTTGGTGGGTTTGTGGACCCCAGAGTCGAAGATTCATCATGTGTTACTCTGTTTTGAGCTCAGTTGGTGGAATGGTTGTTTTTCACTTACAGATTTGGTGTGTTCCGGTCGAGGAGCGATGATGGGCGGCACCTCATCATCATCGTCGTCTTCATCTTCGTCCTCCTCCTCTTCTTCCTCGTCTTCCTCCTCGGACACCGGAGGAGCGAGCGGAGGCTCGGACGCTGTCTTAGCTCCCTGCTGCTAACACACAAACACCCAGAACACAACACTGAGGTTAAAGTGGACGAGTGGACAGGTCAGCTTTTCAAACGTGTAAAGTAAGATATCGTCAGGTATAGAACATTAAATACTTACATTAAATTCTACTTACTCAGATTAATACTGTAATATTTAAGTAAAATTTATTGATAATTTTTTGTGATATTTAAATTAAAATATTATTTTATTAAAAAATATTAAATTAAAATATTGTTTTAGTAATAAATGACAAAATATTTAAATGTAATGCTTATTGCAGTGATAAATTCTGTAATTTTCTTTGTATTGGTAAACTGATTAATGATAAATTATGTGATATTTAAATTGAATTGCATATTGTAGGATATTTAAAATAAATCATTATTATTGTGATAAATCCTGTAATATATGACTCATTTCTATTTAATTTGTATTGCAGTGGTAAATTCTGCAATATTTGAAATAAATTTATATTACTGTGATAAATTCTGTTTTATCTAAATTCATATGCAACTTTATCAATATTTTCAGTCAGCTGTCTGAAACCTATTAGAAAAAAAAAAAAAAATACATTTCAACCACCAGAGGGCAGCATCATAATCTGAGGAGAGTTCAGCAACCAGGAAGCAAAAGCAGGGCCATCACTTCGTCCACCACACGGCCCAAACACAAAAAACAACATTTACAACAACTACGCACAATTAATCTATACAGATATTAATTTTTCCAATCCTGGACTGAAATTAATGTAAATATGAATCTCCATTGATGGTGTAACTCAGACCTGCCCATAGGAAAATGGAATATACTGTGAAATACTGTACACTGGATATATTGTAGCTTATTTTAAATGCAGCGCATTGTTGTAGGGCTGGTTTGTCGGGAAATAAAATAAAATCAGCCAATTTTGTGTAATTGTAGACAAATCCGCATTAAAATAATAAAATATATATATTCAAAACAGGACAGTATGAACAGTTCCTGACTTTTATTAGAATAATTACAGTAAACAGTAACACAGTAAACAGTAGCTGATCTCATGAATCAGACTGAAGAACACAGATTTCTCCTGGACGCCTCCAGACATCACACGGATTTATTAAACTCCATCAGCAGTCCCTGATTAAACATAATGAAGTACTGATCAGATACAGCAGGAGGGCAGGACACACCGACACACTAGACGACAAAGCAAAGAGAGAGTATAACGCACGAATAAGAACTCAAACTCCCAGAACTCCTCAGATCACACGACACAAACAGAGCTGAACTCACTGGACCTGTTTGTGCTTTTAACCTGAGGACGAATATGAGGTGAGAAATATTCCGCTACAAACCGGCAGCTGAGCTGAAATTGTAGAGACTGAGCTGAAATCGTAGAGACTCAGCTGACGTCTGGATCCTACAACGGCGTTTTAGGGCCACTGTTAATTAAAAAATAAAAATAATAGACTTCGACAACGACATAATATTTCGAGAAAAAAGTCGTAATATTTAAAAAAGTCGTAATATTTCGAGAATAAAGTCGTAATATATAAAAAAAAAAGTTTTAATATTTTGAGAAAAAAGTCATAATTTTTAAAAAAAGTAATATTTTGAGAATAAAGTCGTAATATTTAAAAAAATAGTCATAATATTTCAAGAATAAAATCGTAATATTTTGAGAACAAAGTTGTATATTTGGAGTGTGTAGGTGTTCAGTTTCTCTGATAGTCTTGATGATGTGGTTTCTGACTCTGTATGACTCACTGTTATCTATAAACATGGACTAAATTGAGGCCTCGAGATGCTGCTGCTGTTTTTAGCGATGTTTTTAGTGATGTTTACAGTGTCAGAAACCATAGAATCAAGTCTATCAGAGATTCTGAACACCTCCCCACACTCTGAGGCTTGAGTGTGATGACTTAGGCATGCAGTTAGCATCATGCTAACTGGCTGTAAGCCTCATTACTTATTAGCTACATTAGCCTCATAGCTAATGGAGAGGGAAACTGTAAATCTGCACTGAATTACTGTGTTAATTTGGTCTGCAGACCTTGTGAAACCAGCTGTGTGAGTTAGCGCTAGTTTTCAGTCACAAACAGGCCACTTACACATTATCAAAGACTCAAACCAGTTTAGCATCAACATTTTTGCCACCTCAGACGGCAGATGCCATCAGTGTGAGCACGCGAGTCAAACGATTGCGATCTCTGTCCGTGGAAAAGCTGTTTTCAGCGGCTCTGTTCTTGACGTTCCTCTCAGAGACACACGGAAGAGGAAGCTCAGGGGAATTTTCTGGAAACTCCCACGTTCAGGCAGGTGTGAGGTGAAGGTGCTAAACAGGGCTTCGTTCACCCATAAAGATATGAATCACACGAACAGTAATGCAGTACACTCTCGGAAAAGATGGTGCCCTTTCATGAAATGGTTCTTCAGATTGATAGAAAATGTGCTGTAGATGGTTCTACACAGAACCTTTTTGACAATGGTTCTACATAGCACCCAAAAGGTTCTTCTACTGTTACGGTGTCAAGCTTGTAACAACAGAAGAACCATATATATCACATTTGTGCACATTTTTCATTGATCTGAAAACGCTTTCACGATGCAAAGACCCCTGCAAAGGGTTCTCTGAGTGTTCATGGTTCTATACAGAACCATTTTCTTTATTAAAGAACCACTAAAGCACCATGTTATTTAAGAGTGTATAAGTATAGTGTAGTAAAAATTGTAATTATTGTAATTGTAATAAAAACGAGTAAACTTGTCAATTGCAATCAATCACTAGTCAGGCCAGTACGATATATCATATGGTCGATAATATCGGCTGATACTGAAAACAATATTTTCGCTAATAATCTGCCGAATGTTTTGTTCATGACATCGCCGGGATTAAAACTCACAATCTCATGGCTCGTCTGATATTGTCACGTTTTTTGGCCACTTAAAATCAGTATTGTTGCAAAATGTGTTAGATCCTAATTATTAGGGCTGAGTATCAAAATCCAACATTTTTATGTATCAGCATCTTTCAAAATCAGATTTCAACATCATGTCGATGTTATCAGCACCAGTGAACCAGTAAGCATGCTTGTTATTTTTATTCGATGGACTGTTTCACTCTCGTCATCTCTTAACTTACATTTGAACTTTGTTCAATGTATCTTCTATGAATTATGAATCACTTCTGGTGGCCTTTTTACTGGCGGAATATAATTCAACCCAAAAATTTTATTACTATAATCAAATGAAATATTTTAATTCAAAATAAAGTATAATATAACATTTAAATTTAAAATAAAGTAAAATATATATTTTTTTAATTAATAAAAAAAAATATTTACAATCATGACTGAATTGAGTGACCTCCAAAACGGGGTTGGTTAAAAAAAATTGAGATATATGGTGTTGATATGACAGCGACCACACAGAAAATATTATAAAGATAAGATTTTAGATTTTGTGTAGTTAAATGTAAAGAACTGGAACTGTTTAATCAGCTTAAATTCGATAATAAAAAAGACTTTCTTTTAAAAAAGCAGTGCATTTTGTTGATGGACAAAACAAGCTTCTTAAATATCTTTAATATCTTCTTAAATATCTTTAATATCTTCTTAAATATCTTTAATATCTTCTTAAATATCTTTATTACTGTTGCACACTGTGGATATTTAGTTTGCTGTTGCTTCTGTTAGTCTGCTGTTCACTGGTGCCGACATTACTGGTGTTGCTGGTGTTTTTCTTGTGAATGATACTTCAGACTCGATGTAGTTCAGTGATAAACAAATTCACCGTTGCAGTAACTAGAATGAACTTTGATCTTATCAAGAGAGCCATTCATGGCGGATCATTCAGGCTTAGCAAGTATGTAAACAAGTGAGTTTCAGTTAGCTAGAACAGATACTTCAAAGGGACAAACTAGGAAAATGTGTTAAAAAACAGTATCATGTTACAGCTCAACAAATACAAAACAGGCATCTCTAAATCAGTACGTTTACAGCAGAGGGAGAAAACGCTCTCAACTTTCAATGTAAGTTAATGTAAAGAGATTTTATATCAAGCCATTTTGGGGCATTTCTGTTGGTCCATTCAGCTGATTTTCTCAAATTATGTTAAAAAACGAAAAACAACAAAAATGGAGATTGTTTTAATATATCATCATTGTTCTAACAAAACCACATACCTCCAAAACGGCAACTTTATAGATGAAGGCAAAACCATATTTAAATTTAACTTTAAGTTAATGATAGAAAAGTTTATTGCAATAATTTTGGGCCGTTTCTTTTGTTCCATTCATCATGATTTGTTTACACAGTGTAAAAGTCAGTGTTGATATGACAGCAACGATATGGAACATGATACAGATCAGTTCGTAGATCAGTAATTATGTCACCTAACATGATTATTATTACATATATATGCAAATATTGCTACACTGAAACATAACAACAACAAAAAATAGCAGCTATTTTCAAATACATATCATCGCTATTGGGGCAAAATCTGCTTTTTTACTGGTCATCTTATACTTTTTTTTGCATAATTTGAAATGTCGTCCTTTATACTGTGTGTAAATTTCATGATGAACAGATCGACAGAAATTCTTCAAAATTGCTTTGAAAACTCTTTTAAATGAACTTCCTTTAAAAGTTGAGAATAGTAAATTTATAGAAGAAAATAAACATTTTGGAAATACAAGGTTTTGCTCTGACAGCGATGATATATTGCATCCAGACACAATAGTTTTTTTTTTTTATTATATTAATATTTTACTTTTTTTCTTAAATATATTATTGGGCCAGATATACAATTACTAAAATAAACAAATTCATGTTTTTCAAAACATTATAAATACATAAATACACCAGAGTTCAAAAGTTCAAAAGTTTGCAGTCACTGTTTTCAATAAATTACATTTTGTTTTGTTGCACATATATAAAGGATCCTGTGATGATGCTACTGCTCGACAACTTCAAAGGGTCCTACAGCTAAAAATGAGGAAATATTAGATCCATCCAGAA